AATATAGCAGTGAATCAAGACAGTTCTGCAATAAAAGTCATCAGTCCAAAAGTTATAAACATAGCATCAGTATCAATCAGTCGACTGATTCGTTTGACATTAATCACCACACTTTGAGATATATACAGTGACAGCATTAATATTCACTATTGAAATTTGACAAGAGTGATGTACAGAGCAGAGTTTGAAACTCACAAAATTTACTAAACATTAATTAAACCCAGTGAATTATAAAACAATCTACATTACCATTAAATATTCTCATACAACAATAGTATACATATCCATTGTTTTCCATAAATTACAAGCCTTCCTCCACAAATCACCTAACAATAGTTAGCTATCTAGGGTGTATGGACTCCCTAGTTGGTCTATTATTTAATTTATTTTGACATAGCTAGTATAGAAATAGACTAAGATTGTTTGTCTTGGTACTCCCAGTACTTAAAAACTTTTTAAAAAATATAGGTTAGTTGTTGGTAACCATAGTAACATGAATCATTAACATTACCGGTTTTAGCAAAATAGAAATTAATGAAAGATGAATTGTTGCATTATGTCATTTTTTCAAAGAGAAAAATAACTTATGAATTATTAATGAACTTGTACTTAATTTTGTGAGAGGTCGGGTAGGGACAAAAAAATCTATGGCCAACATTTCATGACACATGTATAAAAAAATTTCAAGATAGCAGTATGTTCACAAACATATGACATTACATTGTTCAAAAATATGTAATGTGCCCCCCCCCCCCCCCCCGCACACCTTGGATTTTATTTTTATTTTAGATCACATGGCCAGTGTATGATGGCTGTATACCTACAGCTTACAACAAAACATATACCTGGTATTTATTATGAACTGACCAAAACTTCTTTGTAGTAATGTTGCTCAATACAGGTTTGTTCTGAAACATTTTTGTTTAAAAGCTTATTTTGCATCAAATTTATTTTAACTTATAGATATTACATTCCAAATTAAACGTTTCATTTTTTTTTTATATTTCAATCATGAAATTTAAAAAGGTAAGTGATAGTACATATAACTGCACTATAACAACAAAAATGAAACTGTATAAATTGACTTTATGCTTTATGTGAGCCTCTCATCCTTCATTATTTACAATGTGAACAAGTTGAATAACATACCAAAGATTACACGATGTACAAAAATCTATTTAACATGTCTCGATTAAAAAAAAAAAAATACAATTTCCCATCTGTAGCTGGTTCTACTACCCACAATTACTGAGTTGTTGCATTAGCTTCAATAGATGCTCATCTACACCACCATTTTCACTAAGTTTCCTTTTCATATGCTTTTTAATTTAATTAAATTCACAAATAGGAATTATTTTAAGCAAAGATTTCAGGCGAAATCAAAAAGCCAAAAACATACTGATATAGGTGGTTGTGATTCTAATGTAGCTGAATAAATTTTAGCAAAATAATTAGAATAAACTTTGAATATTTAAAACTGAGGAGTTAACAAATTGAGGAGTAAAATTTGTGTGGAAGAGCAGAAACTAAAATAGTGTCTCAGTGGATAAAGATTTATTGTCAACATCAATACGAGAATGACTAAAAATATATCAACACACAACTATGCCAACAATACCAGAATTGGAAGCAACAAATGTTACAAAAAATCAACATATGAAATGTTATGTTATTCAACTGAATAGGGTCACAACTTTAACACTTACAAAGATATCAGAAAACTTGCAACAATATTTTGCATGACCCCATAAGGTCGCACATCCTGACAATTTGCATGACCCCATAAGGTCACACATCCTGGCAATTTACGTGACCCCTCATAAGGTCAAACATCCTGGTAATTTGCACGACCCCATAAGGTCACACATCCTGGCAATTTGCACAACCCTATAAGGTCACACATACTGGCAATTTGCATGAGCCCCATAAGGTCACACACCCTGTCACTTTGCATGACCCCATAAGGTCACACATCCTGGCAATTTGCATGACCCCATAAGGTCACACACCCTGGCAATTTGCATGACCACATAAGGTCACACATCCTGGCAATTTGCACGACCCC